ACAGGCCACAGGCGTTTTGCCGCTGGCCACAGGCCACGGGCCACAAGCGCTTTGCCGCAGGCCACAGGCCACAGGCTTTTACCACAGGCCACGGGCCAAAGGCATTTTGCCACAGGCCACGGGCCACAAACTTTTAGCCACAGTCCACGGGCCACAGGCGTTTTGCCACCGGCCACAAACCACAGGCTTTTAGCCACAGGCCACGGGCCACAGGCGTTTTGCAACAGGCCACGGGCCACAGGCTTTGAGTCACAGGCCACAGGCCAAAGGCCACAAGCTTTTAGCCATTAGCCACAGGCCGCGGGCCACAGGCGTTTTGCCACTGGCCACAGGCCACGGGCCACAGGCTCTCAACCACAGGCCACAAGCCACAGGCTTTTACCACAGGCCACGGGCCATATGCGTTTTGCCACAGGCCACAGGCCGTTGGCCAGAGGCCACAGGCCACAGGCTTTTAGCCACAGCTCACAAGCCACAGGTTTTCTGCCACAGGCCACGGACGTCTTGCCATGTCTTCGCGCCCAGGCTCTCGGGCCCCCTAGCAGCGCGCAAGGGAGTTTGTTCACCCCTACGCGCCGATCGAGGTCCCATGGCGGACACAAGCGCTCTCCGCGATTTCCTGCGCTCTGTCACTTGGAACAAAGGGGGCGACCCCGACGCCTTCGTGGACGGGTGCGTTGCCGTGTGCGTTGCGAACGAGGCGCGCTCGCTCATTCAGGTTCGCACCGGCGCAAAGTACCGCGTCGCGCGCAGGTGTTCGAACCGTCGGCACTCTGCAATATCAACCCAGGGGTCTGAATAACAAGGTCGTTGGGTTATGATGATTATGTTGTTGTAGAATAACCATATGTTTGGTTATGTTATGTATGTGGTATTCACCGCATAAGCCAAAAACCGACATCGACGACTGCGCACGTCGAAGTTCGAGCAGCGCGCTCGCGCGCTACTAGGATTCGCGCCGAAGCGCGTCACCAGGGGAGACGTGAGAGTAGCACTCATATTTGATAATTGAAAGGAAGGAGGAGGAGGAGGAGGAGGAGGAGGAGGAGGAGGAGGACGAGGAGGACGAGGAGGACGAGGAGGAGGAGGAGGAGAAGGAAATATGGGAAGGAGGAGGAAGAGGAGGGCGGAGGAGATGGGGAGGAGGAGGAAAAGGAGGAGGAGGAGGAGGAGAAGGGGGAGGAAGAGGAGGAAGGAGGAGGAGGAGGAGGGGGAGGAGGAGAAGGAGGAAGGAGGAGGAGGAGGAGGAGGAGGAGGCGGAGGAGATGGGGAGGAGGAGGAGGGGGGGGGGCCGAGCCCTGCCATCTCTCGCGGGCGGGGTGGAGGAGGAGTGGACGGCCTAAGCTCTAGGTTTGGCGATCAAGTCGCTGATATTCCTACTCTGCGGGGTCCCCCAACCTCGCCGTCGTCGTCGTAATCGTCGGCCAGACGCGGCTCGAAAGACTGGTCAGCCTAGATCCCGGGCGTTAGTGATGAGGATGGTGGTGATGAGGATGGTGGTGATGAGCATGGTGATGAAGATGGTGACTCTACGACTGCGCCTGAAAGACCGAGCCCACGTGTGTACACGTCCCCAACACGGCGGCCCAAGAACCAAACGTGCATGCAAACGTAGACAGTGCAACGTCGAACATGCTAAAATGCATTGCCGTGCAATGCGTCATGAAACCGCTCTCACTCGATCACACTTCGGACCGATGCTCCACCTGGTACGTAATCGCGTAGACTGTCTTGCCATGGGCTGGCACCTTGAAGCTCGACAATAGCTCCTGGAACACGTGGCTGGCATTCATTGGCATCGACTGCACTGAGCGGTAGCTGTGCGTACAGCGAACTACCGTTCCTGTTTTTTCTGGGAGCCCGACCGCCTCACGGTTGATCCGCTGGCACTTGTACTCCACGCCGTCGTCGGAGCCATCCGCGTGGAACTGCGAGAACGCGCGCTTCTGGTCGTTCGCCGAGCCGTTGAGGTCGGCCTCCTGCACCTCCGACGCCGTCGCCTTCTGGTCGTCCGCCGAGAAGCCGCCAGTGGGGTTGGCCACCTCTGAGCCGCTGCTAGGGTCGGTCACCTTCACCTCTGGCGCCGCCGCCGGCGCCGCCGGCGCCTGACTCGGGGTCGCGGGGCCACGGCCAGGAGGCACCACGGGCGGTTCCGACTCCATCGGCAGCGTCTCGACCTCCGACATGGGATACATTTGCAACGTCTCGATCTCCGAGGCGGGCGTCGTCGGCATCGGCGTCGGCGGAGCCGTTGAACGCCGCGAGGTCGAAGTCGGACGAGCCACGGCCCTGCTGTCGGCAGTGCGCGGGCCAGTCTCGGAGTCGCAGTTGATCACGATCACGTGCTTGTCCTGAGCGCCACCCTCTGCCTTGAGATTCTTCTTGGCGGTCAGCCATTTGGTAGCGGGCGCCACGCCGCTGGCGGCCTCGTGACTGCCCTCGCTGATGTTGCCGTCAACGACGCTGCTGCGCTGGGCATTGCCCTCCGTGATGCCGCCGCCGACGAAGCTGCTCTTGTCCCCAGAGTTGTCCTGGCCGAGCACGTCGCCATGGCTGGCCGCGCTGATGCCGCTGAGGCTGTGCGCGATGTATACATCGCTGAGAGAATAGTCGGCACCTCGGGGGCAAGCGTCGAGCGAGTCCTCCAGCTGTGTATTTCCGAAGTACTGCGACCCGTCCTCAACCTCTGGCCTCCAGGTGTCATCGATGCCCTGGGATGCCATTACTCGGCACCGAGTGGGAATGCCAGATCGCTCAGTGAAGCGCAATCCGAATCGCACAACTTTTGAGCCTCACACAGCTACGGGCTGCGGCTCAGCAAAGCACAGCACAGCGTAGCGTGATGCAATGAGGGCGACGGGCCCTCCCCGTGTCACGGTGCCCCGCCCCTCGTCTGCACCTCGCCGCCCCCCCACAGGCATCTCGGAGGGGCATCGATGTGAAACTTAATGCAACGCAGTGCAAAACACGCAATGCAAACTGCAACGCAACCTCTATCATAACACCGCCGAGCAATCCATAGTATATATAGCATGGCAGGGCATAGCGTAGCGTAGCATAAGGGCATGCTTACATTGTCGAGCTGCGTTGGACCTCAAAGCGTTGCGTCTCCCTCTCTCCTTCCCCCCCCGTCCTCGCATTTCCGTGACCCCCTCCGATGGTGAGCGGACGGCCATCTAACCCTATCTTTCCAGGCGGGCCCGCATCGCGCAGGTTCACTTGCTCTTGCTGAGCATCTTCTCGAAATGATGTTTCAGCAAAATTGCAACTTGCTTCTCGAGGGACATCACTCTGCTGCCGAGGGTAAGGATCGTGGTCTTCATTTCGGAGTTCTCTTTGATAGCGATGTCCAGCTTGCGGTAGGCCTCTCGACCCCCTTCCCAGCCAACCCCTCCCTCCTCCCATCCCCCGTCCTCCCATGCGTTATCCTCAATCACTCATTATGTTCCTTTATGTTTATACCCCAGCCTCGTTCATCTCCACGTTGGCTGCCGCGCAACTGTTGAGCGTTGTGCGGACCGCGAGCTCGAGGACCCCAGCTGGGTCGTCCGCCGCCCATGGTGTCCATTGTACTTCTGATGCTGCTTGTGCTGCCGCTGGTGCCTGTGCGCCCGCTGGTGCTTGTGACTCCGTTGGTGCGTTTGGTTCCGAACCCTTGCCGTTGCTCTTGCTCGTGCCGCCCTCCGTGCCCTTGCCGTTGCCATTGCTCTCACCCGCTGCCGAGCCCGTCGCGCCCGTGGCCTGACCCCGAGACCGAGGCCGCGACCGACCCATGGCGCTGATAAGATCAGATTTGGCTTGAGCACACTCGGCCGCAAAGCCGCCGCAAGCTCTCACTCGTTCCGACGAAATGGCGCACGTCATTTGATGTTTCGATTTGGAGGAGGAGGAGGACGAGGAGGAAAAGGGGCAGGAGGAGGAGGATGAGGAGGGGGAGGAGGAGGAGGAGTAAGAGGGGGTGGGGGAAGAAAGGGAAGAGGGGGAGAAGGAGGAGGCACAGGAAACACATCACGGGGCGTCGGGCGATCATGGAAGTTACCTGGTGGGTCAGACGCCTGCGTGATGCAGATGAGGGGCTCTCGGGATGCCTCTCAGGTGTCTCTTGGAGGGTTGTTGAGGGCATGATTGCTTCTAGGGGTTTGTTCGAAGCCTCTTGTATAGTTTGGTGGGCCTCTCGGAGGTCGTTGGGGGCCTCTTGGATGCGCCTCAGAGGCTTCTGGGTGACCTTCTCCTCCTCTTCTCCTCCTCCTCCTCCCCTTCTCCTTCTCCTCCTCCTCCCTCTCTCCCTCCTCCTCCTCCTCCTCCTCCTCCTCCTCCAACTCCTTACCCCCTTCCACCTCCTCCTCCTCCTCCTCCCCACCCTCTCCTCTCTCCTCCCTCCTCCACCCCACCCCCACCCCTCCACCACCTCCTCCTCCTCCTCCTCCTTCCAACCCCCCTCCTCCTCCTCCTCCCCCTACTCCTCCTCCTCCTCCTCCTGCCTCCTCTCCTTCACCTCCTCCTCCTCCTCCTCCTCCTCCCCCCTCCTCCTCCTCTCCTCCTCCTCCCCCCTCCACCTCCCCATCCCCCCCCCCCCCGCCTCCTCACTCCTCCTCCTCCTCCACTCTCCTCCTCCTCCTTCCCCTCCTCCACCTCATATCCTCCTCCCCTCCCCATCACACTCCTCCTCCTCCTCCCTCCTTCCTCCTGCCCTCCCTCTCCTCCTCATCCTCCTTCTCTTCTCCTCCTCCTCCTCCTCCTCCTCCCACCTCCTCCTCCTCTTTCCCCCTCCTGCTCATACCTCTTCCTCCTCCTCCTCCTCCTCCTCCTCCTCCCCCTCCTCCCCCTGGCCCTCCTCGTTTGCAAGTGCGCTGGGCAACTCAAAACTCTTATGGGTTGCCTGCGAAGGCCCCGCAGCGTGGCGCTGGGAAGGGCGTTCACCTCAGGCCATCGAGTGGCCATATGGTAGACCGTCGGGTAGGCCATATGGTAGGCCATCGGGTAGGCTGTCGGGTCGAGGCCTACTTGGTGGCGACGTCGTGCCACGACGCCGCGCTGCCCACGCTCTCGAGGGTGTTCTCCTGCGCGGCCTCCGTCGCGACGGCCTTCTTCGCCAGCTTCTGCATGGCCGCCGCGTAGCCCATCTGGTAGATCTCGTCGATGTCGAGGCCCTCGATGTCTGCCATGGTCATCGTCATCTTCTTGGCGGCCTTCGCGGCCACCCAGTCTTTGATACTGGAGTCGCTCATGGGGGTAGCAATGGAATGGTTGTTGTCGCCCTTCTGCTCGTGGTAGTCCTCGCCCCTCTGCTCGCAGTCGCCCCCTCGTCGTCGCGCCAGGTTGTGGACTTTCTCTCCATGCCGCAATGGAGCGAGTGGCCACCTGCGTCTGGCATGCTCATGTGGATGTAGAGCGCCGTCCTGTCGTTCACGATCCACTCGTCTCCTAAAGGGTAGTCGCCGTCCGTCTGTGGATGCAGCGGCATCATCTCGCCCCGATCTGGCATCTTGACCGCGTACAGCTCAAACTTGCCACTGAGACTGGGGTCGGTGAGAAAGGAGACGGACCGCTTCAACTCAGCCTTGCACTCCGCAATCGTCGGGAACACGCCTGCGTACCTGCCCTCCGTCTTCACGCGCACGTAGAGTGGCATCCACGACCCATTAGGGCCCATATCCTCTGACCAGAAAGGAATCTTCATCATCTTCTGCATGTGGTCAATGATGTAGGCTCCGCTGTCGTAGTCGGCCATGTCAACTCTGGCGCCGATGCTGGTGTCGACGCTGGCACGCAGCGTTGAGGTGGCGTTGAAATCGCCGCGAACAGCGTTGAACGTGCGTTGAAATCGCTCAAGCCACCGTGTTTACGGAATGGGAGGGTGTCAGATGTGGCGCGCCCAGCCCGCCCTCCTTCAGATGTGGCACACCTAGTTCGCCTTCCGTCTCGCTCTACCGAAGATGTGGCACACCAAGCGGACCCTCCAGATGTGGCGCGCCTGGCTTGTCATCCGTCTCTCCACTGCAGATGTGGCGCACCTACCTTGCCCAATGTGGCGCACCCAGCTTGCCGCTCGCCTAGATGTTTTCAGATGTGGCGCACCTGGCTTGCCCTTCGGACGTGGCGCGCACGATTGGAATTGGAAGGTGTCGATTGTGGTGCACCTAGCTTACCACCATTGACATCTATTTATCCTGCCACCGCAGGCGCAGCGGATTGCCCACGGCTTGGGCAGAGCAACAGTTCGCAGTCGTCTGGCCGACGGCGCCAGACACGCAAAAGAAGCACGAGCAGCCTGGCGACTGCAGAGCCGAAGCCGACATTGTGCGCTGACTGTGGTATCACGTGCTGTTGCTATCATGAGCGCGCATCCGTACTCGTGCTTGAATGTCCTGATGCATGTGTCGTGCATGGCTGCGGCTCTGCATTCTGGGACTGGGCCTAAAGCGAAGCAGCGCTTGCACGCGCCATCTCGGCTGCGATGGCGCTGGCGGCTGCAGCAGCAAACTCATCAGGGTACTCCTGTGAGTCTTTGAAACGCTTCTTATCGCCATTGATCCAAACAGCGTTGCCGTCGCGATCACGCTTGTTCCAGCCGCTGGACTTCTTATCCTGCGAGGCGCGACCGCCCTGCTTAGTCAGGCGAGCATCGTCTCCGCACCTGGCTTTGGCGGCCCTCGCCGTCCCACGAGCAGGCCAGAAGGGGTCATCGCCAGGCAGCGCGTGCCATAACTCTAGCGGCTTTGGCGATGGCGCCCCAAACGCACCCGTCCACGTCAGGAAACGACGGGCGCTCAGAATATCGAAGGTAGCCTTCACGGCCGGCACGCAATACAGGATCGAATTGAACGGCTGCTCGACAACAGCGAACACAGCCCGCGCATCCAGGAACCCCATCATGAAACACCTCCCACTCCGTGGCAACATCGCCCTCTCTTGCTGCTGCTCCTCCTCCTCATACCCCCTCCCCCGCCCTCCTCCTCCCCCTCGTTCTCCTCCGCATCCTCATCCTCTTCATCCTCATCTCCCACCGCCTCCTCCTCCCCCGCCTCATCCTCATCCTCCTCCGTCCTCCCGTCCCTTCTCGCACTCCACCACCATCCTCCCTCCTTCATTCTCCTCAATATTCCTTTCTCTGCCTCCTCTTCCTGCTCATCCCTCATGCCCCTCCCTCCCCATCAGCTACTGCCCCGCCCCCCCTCCCACCGTCTCCATGTGCTGAACCGCCCGACCTCTACGATTTGGGCCCAGGTGCCGATTGCGACTCCAGGCTTCAGGGGGAGGGAACTCGCAGCCTCGATTGATCTCTGGGCCCAAGACCGACCGCCCCGCCGCCGCACCCGTTATGCCCACTGGGTGTTTGGCTGCGGGTGGCCAGGGCAGGCCCGAAAACCAGGGGCCTGGGCGGGGGGTGAGATGCAATATATGGTGCGAGCCAAGTTCTGATGCTAGACGCGCGTGCCCAGCAAGGCGCTGGGCCCACCGTCTGCGGCACCGCGCAGGCCCCTTGACCTGAGAGGTTGCGCTGGACTTCGCCCTCCCCCATCCTCCTCCTCTTCTCCCCCCCCCCTTCTCACCCTCCTCCTAGCCTTGTACTCCCCCCTTCTCCTCCCATTCCTCGTCCTCGTCGCGCCCCTCGCCCCCCCTCCTCCTCCCCCCTCCTCCTCCCCCTCCTCCTCCTCCTCCTCCTTCTCCTCATCCTCCTCTTCATCCGCCTCCTCGTCCTCCTCCCTGTCCTGCTCTTCCTCCTCGTCCTCATCCTCGCGCCCTCCAAATCCCTCCGCCCTCCGAACTCCCCTCTCCCCCCTCCCGCTCCCTCCTCCCCCCGTCTCCCTCTTCACCCCTCCCTCCTTCCCCATGCCTGCTGACGTGCATTTCACTTGCCCCCTCCCCACATCAAGTTGGCGATGTGGTTCGCCTCCAGGACGTCAGTGCGACTGATGTTGCCAAACACATCGTGGCGGTCCCTCTTGCTATTAAACCTGCACACGTCGAGCCACGTAGAACATTGAGGTGAAAACCATGCTGCCCCATTGCGCTTCACGCTGGCCAACATGTAAAGTAGGTACAGTGCGCCGCATAGAGAGCAAGCATCTTGCAATGGGTCGCCAATCCGCTCGAAGGTGAGCGACCGCAAATGGAAGTGCGTGAGCAACGTTCTCGCGATCTTTGAGCTCCCAGCAAACACTTCCACAAAATCAACGGTCCTCGCGATGTTCGCTGCCTCTGTGTACATAAGAGTGCTTATGGCCGATATGATGGTGCCGCTATCGGCCCACTTGCGTACCGAAACTGGGACTCCCGTGCGTGCCAGTGCTCGCGTACGTTGCCCCGCCCACGCCATGGCGGCCTCGTCCCGTGGGAGGCCATTCGCCCCCCCAGCAGCATGCGCGCCAAGAAGCATCAGCGCCGCGTAGATGGCGACACGAGCGAAAGCCATGACACCCCAGAAGATGGCAGCCACGAGTTCACTTTGAGAATGCCCAACAGCCCGAACATGCTAAAGAGCCGATATTCAAGCGTGTGTCTGTACGCATATTTGCACACGTCTCTGAGCACGATGTTTAGCCCTTCGTCGACGAAGACAGTGTACAACTTCGGGCTCCCATGCCAACATACCCTCGAAAGCGTTTTGACGCTGAAGGTGAGGGGGGGGGGGGGGGGGGGGGGGGGTGGGGGAGGAGGGAGGCGGGGTGGGGGGGAGGGGGGGGGGGGGGGGGGGGGGGGGGGGGGGGGGGGGGGGGGGGGGGGGGGGGGGGGGGGGGCATCCTCGCGCAACGACGCAAACGCATCGAAGACACATCATCGAAATCGCATTGGAATCGCTGAGAACGGCGGTGACATCGCATTGAAATCATTGAGAACGGCGTTGAAATCGCATTGAAATCGCTGAGAACGGCGTTGAAATTGCATTGAAATCGTTGAGAATTGCGTTGAAATCGCATTGAAATCGTTGAGAATTGCGTTGAAATCGCATTGGAATCGCTGAGAACGGCATTGATCTCGAATTGCAATCGCGATATCATCGGCGCGACTAGCTTTGAAACGATATCGAACCTCCGCAATCCCATCGACATCCGTGCGATTGGTTCTGAAACAATCGAACTTTAAGCCGATCACCCCATGCCCAGTGCCGCGAGATGCTGCACCCTTGGGCACTGGCATGGCCAAGGTACCCTTGGCGCCAAAGGCAACGCACTCAGGAGGACGAAGGAGGAGCGAGACTACGCTGAGGGGCTGACCCTCACGTCATGTCCTCCGCCCGTTTTCCCCTCCCCCCACCCACCGGCCCACCCTCCCATTCCTCTCCGCCACCCCCCTCCCCCGCCTCCTCCGCCTCCTCGCCTCCTCCGCCTCGCCCCCCCCCCCACACCCTCAGCGGGGCTCCGACTCGCCGGCGTGCCCCCCCCCCCGTCCGCGGCCCGCAGACGTGCCAGGTTCCCCTTATCTGGGGATTGCGGCGCCACCGACGCACCGACGACAGCGCCTACCGCCAGCGGTCTGGGGGCGGGGCCCAGCGGGTTGGAAAGGAGGCAGAGGGCGGGCGTGGAGGGAGAGAGGATGGATGAGCAGGATTTGTGCATCCCGATAAAAGGGCGTCCTGTCTGCAAGGCGGCACAACTGGTGGTGCTTGGGCACCAAATGAATCCTGGCGGCCCTGCAGCAGCGGAGATGGACATCAATCTCCGACAGCAAGCGCTGGCGGCAGCAATCGTCCATCAAGACGGGGTTGCCCCTGCAAATCTGCATGAAAGTCTCCAAGGATACAAGGGCGCCCATGAGCGCCGCCCCGAAAGATGAAGCCCCCCCGTACTTGGTGAGCTCCCATATCGCGAACTTCAGGAGCATAGACGTCTCCCCCGCCTTCGTCTTCATGGGGGCCCCTGGGCGCAGCGTTCGCTGAGAGCGCTTTTGACGCGCACGTGCACGCACACGCACGCACACGCACACGCACACTCACACGCATTCACCCACACACACACACACACACCGAACAAACAACAACAAACAAAGGTATGTCTGAACAAGTATGCACACGCGTGCTCAAGGTGCGTGAGGACGCGGTGGTCGCTATCGTTTCGGCACTCAGACCAATGCCCGAAAAAAATTGGCTCCTGCGGAGTACAGCCCTTGGTTTTCCCGAGCATCTTCAAGGTAAGGTTCCCCATGCGGTCCTTGGGCCCGACGCGCGCCTCCTGGTACTTTTTCAGATCAGCGCATACCTGGCGCCGTGCTAGCTCCAAGCGGTTATGCGTGGCCCCTGTGAAGCCCCACGGGTTCATCAATACAAGCCTCCATAGCGCTGCTGAGACTGCGCGCTGCATGGCGCCAAGGTGCACGCAGTGCATGGCATCGACTGCGAGCGTCCTCCAAGGGCTCGTGAACAATTCACTGCAGAATAATGGACACCTTCGGTGCACGTGGTCCAGCACGGGCTTGTTGTTCCTCGGGTACTCGCCGCATCGGGGCCTCCAGAACTTCAAATTGAGCGGCAGGGGCAACCTGGACACGCTCATCACGTCCAAGAGCGACTCGCTGGGCTCAAGCCGATCGCCGCACTGTAGTTTAGCGCCCCCAACGTCCACACCATGTACGACGCCTTTGCCGCCGATCCCCTTGGGTTGCTTTAGTATGGCCAGCGCTTTGAGCAACTTCCTGCGGTCTGGTTCTGACTTTATCACGACGTCGATCTCGCACTTCTTGACCTGCGTCTCATAGTCATCATCTCCCCTAAGGTTCCATGGGGCGCCGCCT